GAGGAAGACGGGGCAAAAGACTAAATACTATGGAAGAGCGTCAGAGATTAGTAGTAACTAATGATTAAATGCAAAATGGAGTGTGAGTACATAATGAGTGAAAAAGATGAGTGAAGAAGAAATACTTAGTGTATGGGAAGCCCCCAGCAGCCTAGGACTATTGCAGCATAACTAAGGGGGGATTCAGGGTCACCTGATCCAAAAGAGTGCCTGTCTCCTGAATCCAAACTGGGAGCTGGTTCCACAGAAGTGTAGCCTGAAACCCGACGGCTCTGCCTCTCATTCTACTTTTAAATATCCTTGGAACCACAATTAAACCTGCAGTCTGAGAGCAAAGTGCTCTATTAGGATGACATGGTAACAGTTCGCAGGCTTCTGACTAACTCTTACTGGAATTTATTTTCAGGGGCATGTCCAGAGGGGGGCATAGGGTGACATCTGCCCCCCCCCCCAAAAAAAAAAGAAATGACTGCTTGTTAATCTTGCAGTGCTAAACATAGATAAGACCTGTTGTCTAATGTAATCATGATATCTACAATCACGAGGTCTGGGTAGTGGCTGAAAGAATGAGATTGTGGAAGAAGTTCAGTAATTTGGGAGGGATTTGGAGATTAAAGTGATAAACACATTAATAAAAAATAAGGAAACGACTAATAACTATTATTTTTAAATATGATAATGATTCTGAAGAAGGACGATTCTGTATAATCTTCATTTTCCATTAAGTGCACTTTGATGCCTCGCTGCACAGTCACAGTGGAAAAACCCCAAAAGTCAAGGGGATAAGGAGGAGTACAATCAGTAGCTTTTCCCACACCCTCTCCTTTTCCCCCATCGGTCTTTATCTAAGAGTAAAGTTGAACTATTAAACTCCAACTTCCCTCAAATGACTTCAGTAAGCTCATCATTCATTTCTGACTGTCGGCAGTGTCAGGAGAATCCTCGCTCATGGGTTTTTGCAAAGTTGAAATACCTTTAATGCAGATTAGTGTCTATTCACATCATCCAGTGCAAATTTCACTTTGTGGCTAACATGAATACATCTTTAGGCTAAGAAATATGAAACATGATATTCGCTTACACAAAGAGTCTGTCATATAACATCATTTATATTAGGGCATAGAGCTACACCAGCCTCAAATTGTATTTACTTCTGATCAAATATTCTGATTTCCAGCCTCCCCTCTTCCACCCAACCTGCCCTGTTATTCTTCTATCCTATTCCACCCCATTAACGATTCCTGGAAACACCCCTGTTTCTTTCATATCAACATTCAATGAGGCCAACAAACGCGCAAAATAAGAAATATACAAAATGCTTAATAACAATACCCCCCCCCCCCCCCCACACACACACACACACACACTATGAAATCAACCTTGTCTAGTGTGCTAATAAAAAAACAGTAAATATATAATCAAATAAATGAACTGTGTTGGTTTGCATTTCCAATTTTTGATGTTTAAGTCTCAGTTGTTCTGAGAACCTTAGTCTTCACTGTGTACCACAGCTGCAGGGATACTGAAAGCAGCAACATCACATACAATAACGAAAAATGAAACAATAAAATCAAAAACACAAACAACTTGTTTATGTGATTATTCCCCGCTTGAGTTGTGTGATTATTACTGCCTCTGAATGATGCATGAGCCCATGCACACTTTCATAAACAGCATTAAATGAACTGCTTTAACAAAACAAATACTCAACTGTCAATAAAACCAATTAAGTATGCAAAATCTGACCACAGAACTAAAACTTGCTAACACAATGACATGTTTCTTTAAGCCCTTTTGGAGCATATGCAGGCCTCACATCTTCACAACTTGTAATCCTGGTGACACCCTGTGCAATACGATTTACCACAGAGGCTCCAAATACTTTGGAAGGTATGCTTGTCTCTACATGGACTAATTATATCACCACAATAGCATGTGTGCAACATGCACTCATCAAACTTCACATGTGTGCAGTAGATATCAAAATAAAGTTTGACCGCGGGTGTTATCTGAAGCATAGAAAGGAAGGAAGTTCTATTATTTTTGTTTGAAAGACGCCATATAAAGTAACCTTCATCCGGTGTGCATTTACAAGATCAACACAAAGCCCATTTCTGTTTATTTATGATTTTTTTTATAAATAAACCTGTTGGCCTATTCATTAGGTGAGATAGTTGAGCTTATCAGTCTGAGTCTGTCTGCGTCAAAACAATCACTCGGAACTGTGCAAGGTGCACTCATGAAACCTTATTGATGTGTATTTGGTATCAAAACAGCGGGGGAGTTCAAAGGTGAGCGTGGTTCAGAGCACAATCACAGTAAAGTGTGATAATCTAATTATGGGATCTAAGTCTGACTTACATAGAAGTATCAAATCTCATTAATGTACTCATTCAGAACACAACAAACATCCCACTGTGATACTCCGTTCATCTGGCTTTTATTTTTGAAGTCCACAGCGGAAGTCTCGGTTTTCAGGCTTGTCACTGGTAGCAACAATAAACCACAAGCACATTATTATTCATTGAGCTTTAGTCCTTTTTCTAAGAAGCTGCAAAACCAGAGCTTGGTTTATAGAAAACTCATTTTGCTGGATTTAAAAGTGAGGAGACATTAAACATGAGCAGCTACTGATATGTGCTGAGGGGTCCTGTCTGTAGCAGCAGGAGCTCACAGTGTCAGTCTGTAGTTGTTTTGCATGCTTTTGGGATTGATGCAGTCATATAAACAGAAGAAAATATTCAGAGCTTTTCTTTTTTAATCATCTGTATTTTTACTTTTACTTTTTTGAGACGCTTCCTGTGGTTTGGCCTTTAGAGGGCTCACTTACACAGCTGCTTCTGTACTTTAATGGGAGGGGGGTAGGTCCATGATGAAAACAGTCTACAACATAAAACAATGCTGACTGTTAGAGGGAAGCATTTAGTGCTGTTAAGAGTTACCATCTGTTTTTCCTCTACTGCTGTGTTTACTTTTTCCACTTTACACCAGGAGTCCAGTCCAATGTCCATACTGTGCTCTGTGATAAACACAGGTCGGTGTTCCAGGATCATACAGGAAAGTGTTCTTGTTTAAATAGGGCTGTGCACAACAAAAGCAAGGATAAATATTCAGTTTTCCCTACTTGGTCTTCTTATGGTCTCTTCTTTCACAAAAACAATGAAATAATGACAAACGCTTTGGGGCAATTCTGTCTTTTTGCCCTCTTCTCCTTATTCACAGCATTAAGTAAACCATATCTCAGCTTAAACTTGAACTTTTGTGCTCTTTTTCTTTTTGTCTGAAAGCTATATTTGGTGGAGTGATGAGATTAATTTGCTAAGAATTTAAAACACAACTTTATTGTGGAATCATCACATGTTCTTTAGGAAGTTTATTTGAAATGAAAAGTGGAATCATCCAATCACATGGCAGCAACTCAGTGCATTTAGGCATGCTGACATTGTCAAGATGACCAGCTGAAAATCAAACTGAGCATCAGAATGGGGAAGAAAGGTGAATTAAGTGACCTTGAAAATTGTATGTTTGTTGGTGCCAGATGTGCTGATGTGAGTATTTCAGAAACTGCTGGGATTTTCCCATGCAACTATCTCTATGATTTACAGAGAAGAAAATGAGAAAATATGCTTTGAGCAGCAGTTCACTGGGTGGAACTGCCTTGTTGATGTCAAAGGTCAGAGGAGAATGGGGAGACTGCTTTGCACTGACAGGAAGGCAACAGTAACTCAAAAAAAATCACTCGTTATAACCAAAGTATGCAGAAGAGCATCTCTGAATCCACAGGACATAGAACCACGAAGCCGATGGTCTAGAGCAACACAAGACCACACCGGATGCCCACTCTAGTCAGCTTAGAACAGGAAACTGAGTGTATAATTCACACAGGCTGAACAAAACCGGACAACAGAAGATTGGAAAAATTTTGGCTGCTTTGATCGATTTCTGCTGTGACACTTGGATGACAAGAACTCGACGTAAACAACATGAAAGCATGGATCTATCCTGCCTTGCATATAGAGTTCAGGCTGCTAATGGCGTGGGCCACTTTTGGCCACTTGAGCGTCACTTAAACATCACAGCATGTAGCCGATTGTGTCCATCCCTTTATGACTACAGTGAAATTATTTTCTAATGGCTCCTTCCTGTGATAAAAGCTATTAAAGTTTGACCAAAGTGTCTAACTAAAACACTTTTCATTGCAAACGCTGTCTCGTGTTTCATCTTGTACAGCATGTCTTCAAACTGTGGTGGTGTCCAGGGTGGAAGAGAGGGACCCAAATGTAGCACACAGGCAGACTAAAACGAAAGAGAGACATTTATTGACCCATATAAAGTCCAAATGGATAGATCCAGGGAATATCCAATATACACAAACAATACATAACAAAAACCCACAGAAATAAAACAGCTGCAAAAAAAGGAAACATGACCTGGGAATTATATTTGCATTATATTATCTGATGATTAGGCCTCTACTCATAAGATGTGGTTAGCTTTTGGGGAGTCCCATTTAACAAATGGCTATCTTGTCTATTATGTTGGAATTTGTACTTTTGATTGATTTGCGAATAAACTAAACTAAACTAAACCCTTTGACAAAAAGAAACAAAGCCAAACAATCCAAAAAAATCATACCATCTGAGGGGCATCACAGGTGGCTTATTTAATTTCATATATATAACGAATTTAAACCCTACGTGAGCTTTTACTATTACTGTTTTTCAAAGAACTTGCTTAAATACAGATCAGAATAAAGATCTCTGCTGAGAGGAGCCACCCCCTCCTCAGCAGCGGCAGCAGCAGCGCCCCTCTGTGCTGTTGTGAGTTACGTGGACACGTACGTGCGTGTTATTTACATCGTGGTGTCGGGCTGGCTGCTCGCATGTGCCGCTGCCCGTCTCCTTTGTCCTGCTTCACAGCTTCACTGGGTGTCATGGGCTCTGCCTGCAGGGAGAGGAGATTTGTCACTTCCCTCATCACACTGGATCCCTCGCCGCAGCAGTCCTCATCACCATCACCATCGCATCGCGAGAAGAGTCACAGCCTCTCAGTCTTCTTCAGAGGCACAATGACCGCGTTCCCGTAGGCTACACCATGCGAAGTGTGCCCACCTGAAACAGGCTGGGGATGCAGCATCCTTTGAGCCCTTCTGTTTGGGTTCCTGCTGCACTGGTTTCCTGCGGATGATGCGCGGAGGAGTTCGCGGCGTGTTTATGTCTCACTCTGCTTTGGAAAGCCCCCATCCCATCAGGAGATCCATGCACCACCGGTCTTTGTGTTGTTGTTATTACCATGTCCCCAGCATCGGCTGCAACGGCAAGTGAAAGCGCCACCGCCACCGCCACCGTCCCCGAGGAGGAGACGGAAAGCCCCCGGGAAGAGGTAAGAATTGTTTGCAGTAAATTAAGGCTTTTGAGTAGTGTGGCATGTTTAAGTGACAGGCTGCCTTTGTGCATGCTCACTGTAATAATCTCACTGTTTTAATCATTTGGCTTTTTTTTTTAGATTCTGATTTAAGTGTTTGCACAGCACTTAAAGCGCTTTATTTGCCTATTATACGAACCCATGCGCGCACTCGAGCGTGTGAACGCCATGATTACGCTCCTGTGTCCTCCGGGCAGGCTTCCAAAATTAGGTTTAAGAATCTATCACGGTCCAATCAGGTACACGAAAGTGTTAAAACAAAAAACTTACTTTGCTCATATCTTTCCAGAAGATATTGAAAGTCACGCAGCATTTAAAAGACATGTTGACGTTACTAGGGCGGGGAGAAGTGAGATGTTGTATTGGGGGGGAGTCTGTAAATTTCCCTTAAGGGAAAAACTAAAACAGATTTGGAAACATAAGGACTCAACAGCAGTTTTCCTGAATTAAACTATAACACCCAATTCCTCTCCTTCTTCTCCAGTCTTCCCCTACATGCACACATGCTGGGCAAGTTACATATCCATTACACAAGAGAGTCTTTTTATATAACCTAGCTGGTCTTATTATGTCAAGAGAAAGTGTCCATGACTGCGAGAGGCACTAAAGGCACCACGGCAGCCTCCTTAATGTGAAGACTGTACAGATTTGAACCTTCTTGAAACTGTTTTTCCTTTTAACAATAGCCACTTTCATATTACAATCTATGACTCCTATGAGTGCAAACTGTAAAATTACATTAGGATATAAGCACGTAAGGTGGCGTGCTGAAGTGATTCTCAGTTGTTGCTTTCATGCAAAGGGAATTTTCACTAAATACAAAACAACACTGAAACCAAATATTAAAAAATGATACAAGAGCCTTCAGCTAACTGTACACAGAAGACTTTTAGAGCTGTTTCATACAATAACTGCCTTAAATATAAATGTAACTCACTACAATTAAAAATGGATTCTCCTTTCATATTTTAGGACCAGCGCAAGGTTTTTCTAACACATTTTTAATCAGATTGTAACATGCATTACTTTGCAGGCACATAATCAGAACGATATCTCCTACTGCACAACTGTTCATCATTAACCTCGAGCCTGTAAAATGTAACACTGGCCACAAAATGTGCCACGTAGTATTGATTGTAATTTTCGAACGTGGCCAGAATGCTGGTGAGCGAGCACTCCTCCTGCAGGAGGTTTATCTCAGTGGGGAATTTCACTGTTAATCCCTTTTGCTCTGTGGGGTGTAGCCTTGGGTTGGCAGTGTGCTTGAAGACCATGTGACCAAGGTCGGGAAGTTAATTATGATGCAAGAACATTGATTATTTATGCTTGTCTATCACTCGAAGAGCACAGAGCTGACATGTCGAGTTCAATAAATCAGCGCTGTGATAGAGCAGATGCTTTTTTTAAAAAAATGTGGTGTTTAGAGGCGACCTATAGATCAAAATCTAGACATTTACAGTCTTATCTGAAGTGTTAGAAGTGAGGTCTGTCATGCAAATTTTTTTTGAATGAATTTAGTGATAATCTTCCCCTTCCTGGGACTTTTGAATCTCTGCCAGGCTTTGTGTGGCTGTGCTCCTGCAGGGCGTAACCAGCTCTCGAGCTCTTTGATGCAGCCGCTGGGGCTTGCTGTGCCCCGAGGAGATAAAGGATGGCACCATCTAAATGCTGCCCAAGTCAGACTACAGCCTTTTTTTCTGCCTGTCTGCCTAAATGTTTTTGACTCTTTAAAATCATATCAGTTCTTTCAAGTCTTCAACTCTCACGTGACAACAGGATTTCTTTTACATTTTAATGGTAATAATGAAGGAATCGTCTGATTATAACATGCACAGAGCAAGAAATGAGCAGTTGGCTCTTGGCTCATGCATAAACTATGCAAAAGCACTTGCAACGAAGAATATTTCCTTAAATATTTTATACACATGAGCCGCTGCTCCTTAACTTTTTGCCTACAGGTATTTAGGTTGTGTTCATCAATGCCACATTAAAATGTGCCATTCATTTAAATCTTCAGGTATAGGCTACTCCTTCTTATATTATTATGTTAATACCTGTGTTTGTAATCGTTTTTTTCTCTCTTTTGCAGCAACAGCCTCAGAAACAGTCTCTGGCTAAGTCCTTGTGTCAGGAAACTCACTGGAAATGCCTGCTGCTGTCACTGCTGATGTACGGCTGTGTCGGGGTGATGGCCTGGTGCCAGGTGACAGAGGTCACACGCCTCACCTTCAATAGCGCCTACAAGGGAAACTCTATGATGTACCATGACAGTCCCTGCTCCAATGGCTACATCTACATCCCTCTGGCCTTCCTGGTCATGCTCTATGTGGTCTACCTGGTCGAATGCTGGCACTGCTACACCAGGAATGAGCTGCAGTACAAGGTTGATGTGGACAGCGTGACGGAGCGCATACAGCGCATGCAGCAGGCTACGCCTTGCATCTGGTGGAAGGCCATCAGCTATCACTATGTCAGGAGAATGCGACAGGTGACACGTTACCGTAACGGAGATGCCTACACCACTACACAGGTCTACCATGAGAGAGTAAACACCCACGTAGCTGAGGCGGAGTTTGACTACGGTAACTGCGGGGTTAAGGACATCTCGAAGAACCTGCTGGGTCTGGATGGTTTCCCCATCACCAAGCTGAGGTTCACCAAGTGCTTTAGCTTTGCCAATGTGGAGTCTGAAAACTCCTACCTGAACCAGCGGGCCAGGTTCTTTACAGAAAACGAGGGCCTTGATGATTACATGGAGGCACGTGAGGGGATGCACCTGAAGAATGTCGACTTTAAGGAGTATATGATTGCCTTTTCTGACCCTGATCACCTTCCATGGTATGCTTCCAACTCCACCTTCTGGGTAGCGGCTGCTTTCACCTTGTCCTGGCCTATGAGGGTGCTGACAGAGTATCGTACTTCCTGTGTGCACTACCATGTGGAGAAGCTGTTCGGCTTTGACTATGTGCCAGTAACGCCATCTGACGAGCGGGTGTATTGCAGACACATCCCACGGGTCAACACAATTGACAGCACAGAGCTCGAGTGGCACATCCGCTCCAACCAGCAGCTAGTGCCCAGCTACTCTGAGGCGGTTCTCATGGACCTGGCCCAGCTCTCAGGGAGCTGCAATAGCTACTCCTTATCCGGAGGCTACGGCAGCTACAGGCAGAACTGCGAACGCTGCCACCGTGCCATAAGCAGCTCCTCCATCTTCTCCCGAAGCGCCCTCAGCATCTGCAACACTGGGAGCCCCCGCATCCCGTTCAGCGCCAGCCGCTTCTCGCTGGGTCGGCTGTACGGCTCCAGGCGGAGCTGCCTGTGGAGGAGCAGCGGGAGCCTGAATGAGCAGTCGTGTCCCACAGAGAGCACGCGCTGTCTGTCAGGCCAGCAGGCCAGTGAGGAGAACCCTCCAGCCTATCAGGACGCGCTGTACTTCCCAGTGCTCATCGTGCATCGCAACGAAGGCTGCCTCAACCACGACCACCGCTCGCTGCACAGAAATGGCTCCTGTGTAGAAACTTCACTCTGATGACACGAGCTAAGGCCAAGGAAACTATTCATACATGGACTCTTGTGTCTCTTTAACACAGAGATTTAAAAAAAAAAAAAAAAGAGCATTCTCTGAGTTACCACAACAAAGGATTTGTTAACATTTCTAAACATACTGTCACCTGACACAACAGCAATTACAACAAAGTATGTGTGTGGAGTTTATCACTCAATACATCAGGGAAAAACAGACCCGATGAGACTGTTGTTTAAAATACAGCGAGGCTTTAAAGGATACTGCCAAAGTGTCATGTGCAGCCCTAAAGAGTCTGTTGAGATTCAGATAACCAATGAAAATCAAGGGCCATCCCATCCTAGTGTAAATGCCATATTTACAGATCTTAGTCACAGACAATTTACAAAGATATGAGTAACATTTCCCGGTATATGAAGCCTGAAATGGGCTTTGACTCAGCAGCAAATGAAAAAATTAAATGGATGCCAAACGAGAAATGGAACGCAAAGATAAGCAACCTTGTCAAAACACACTAACGAGACTAAGTAGTTTTGCTGAAACCAAACACCCTAACCCTCTCATGGCTCTTATCAAAGTGAAGTCAGTACAGTCGACAAATACAGAAATCTGCATGTTAACACATTTTGATCCTGGATGATTTAATGTCTCCATTCAAAGTTAATGCTCATGGAAATCCATTCAAAGAGAAAAAAACTGAAAATAAATGTCCGGATAAAACATTCAGTCAGCTGATATGTGCTTGGCTGCAATGACATTAAACTCCATGGCTCGCCAAATATAGCACAGGAGGAGTTTGAATAATTTAGCAGACGAGGGCTGAAGGACAAGAGGATTTAAAACTGATTCATAAACACTTCTTTAAACTGTTCAAACTGTACATTTTGTAAAGCAGTAAAAAATACCCTCACTGCACTGCTGAGAAATCAGTGTCAACTCCGCCAGTTTAAAATCTTTAAGATCCATTTAGGTTCGTGTTGGGCAATATTTTCATTGAGCCTACCTCTTTATTTAAGTGCCTAGCATCAACCGTTACTGACAAGCACAAGCTGCAATGACTTCTCATCTCATCTCACTATCCTCCCATTAAAACAAGCAGAAGAACACATCAAGGTTATTGAAAACATAGGCAAAAATCCACAAGTTTGTAAGAATCAGACACAAAATGCTTTTCAGATTTCTTTTTCACATTACTCACACAGCCAGCCCTGTGCTGCTGCTGCTGATGCATATCAGAGAGACAGCTAGAGAGCTGGCCATCGAAAACACTCGAAATAGGCAGAGGCCTGGATTCACTACTGATAGTGTCAGATTTAATTATATAAAAGGATTACTTTAAAACACTAAAACCTACTTCCTCTCAGCTGAGTGCATGCTGTATCTGATGGGAAATTTACTTTTGCAGCCAAGAACCGAAGCAGTGTTTAATGCAAACAGTGACAAAAGCCACTCCCCGCAGCACAACCCATCGCTCAAAGTTTGGTTTATTTCTACCCGGAACTCCTTAATATTTATGGACAGTCATTTAGCCACTTGAAGGAATGGAGGTTAAGCATAGAGGACGTCCATAACAACGGATATACATGGATCATACTGCCATTACGGCCATCACTGAATACTATGAATCTCACCTGCGTTTAGACATTTGGTGTTGAGATTTGCCTTCCCGATAAAGTGATCAATCAGCCATACTCATTACATTCCATGTGTGTTGTTGTGTTTGGAGCTGTGGACTGAGACACAACCCCCTCATAACAGACTGAGTCACGTTTAACTAACAATTTTAACCTGTTTTCACAACTCAAGGTCATCTATGCAACCTCACCCCAAACTCAGGATAGCATTCAGGTCAACGATTCTGCTTGCAACAACATCCCGATAATCACTCATGTTCTCATCTGCACATAAAGAAGGCGGAGGTGCAGATGCAAACATCTCCAGTCATTGAGTTTCACTTCTGCACTCGCTATTCATAAATCCATCACTTAGTCTGTGTGTAAAGGTTCGGTAAACTGCAACGTTTTAAAGTCGATTTTTGCTAAAATTGATTCCACCATGAAACACAAGAAAAATGCGGTATCTTAGCATGAAAAAGAGGTTATTACCAGAGAAATCTTCCACTAGAAAAAACATCTGCATTATCAAAGAACACAAAACAACTCTTCAGAATAATATGTCTCATATTACCTCTCTAACAACTTAATGCGGTGGGTTATGAACAGCTTCAGGCTGCTGTATTCAAGATGCTAACACCAAAATCTCACCTGAAATCTTGAGATAGGGGGACATTTATGACAAGTGTTTGAAATAAATTAGTTTAATCACAGAAAAACTGAAGTGAACAAATGGCAAGTTATTATTTTAGGCTCTCTGTACATCTTCAGTGGTTCCAGTGTGTATGTTAAACTATTCACAGAACAGATGTCAGTGATCTGAGCTAAAATGGCTGGGAATCAATTGAGCTAACAAGTTAATTTTTAGCCCATTCAGATTCTTTACTTATTTTGTAGCTGTGAAGGACTGGATCACAACCGAGCTCGTGCTGGTCAGAAGTCAGAGACTCAAGTGGACTTGCATGACTCAGAGGACAACACAAATAACAGCATGCAGTCTCCACGGGGCATTTAAATGTACCGAAATGTCTTTTTTGTTATGTTAATCAAAATATAGGAGGATGCACCGGATGTCAATGCTAAAGTCACTGTGCCACTCTGAAATCATCACAATCTCTCCTTCATCATCATCATCAAGCCTCTCAGGTGGCTTCACTGTGATATTCATACATAGTCCCATGTAAGAATAGAAAAATGTGTTTACCCGTGAAATGTTTACGCAGCAACAGAAACAAGCTATTTGACCGATTACAATCTGACTGAAAGTTTTAAAGCTATACACTTTTCCTCTATAGATGACTGTTAGAATAACATTTCTGCAAAGAAAGCAGCTATAGCCGTTATCATGTCTTATGAGGTAGATTAGGCTCGTACGATGATTTGTATTCTTTCACTCAATGATGCTTTGGGCCTCATCTTTTATACTTCCATAAATCTGTGGATTTTTAACATTGTAGAGCAGGATGGCTTTGTACTGTAAATAAATAGAGACAGGAGTGTAGAATGTCAGTCGATGTGGATATTGTGTGCACACATGCACACAAACACACACTTAACTGGAGCAGGTACAGATTTGATGTGTTGCTATTAAATGGAGAGAAGCAGAACAGTCCCCCTAAAAAGGCTGTTTTGGGATGGTTTTGTTTCCCTTCAAACACGTTTTTAATCATTTTAGAATACTTTTTTAAAAATACAAATGCTGTTGGTGTGATTTGACTGGTATATCTAAGCATAAACATATGCTTAGGGATTACTAAGGATCTAAATATAATAAATCAATATTCTGTCATAGATTTTTCTGCTTTTTGGCTAAATTAGTCCAGAATAACCTCTCTTCAAATGGCTCTGGAGACTGATTTGTGATTTTAGGTGTGACACCTGTGACATACACCTGATTCATGGCTATGACTGTAAATTACATCTGACTGATAATTTTGTTGCCGCCTAGTTCAAGAGTTACACTATTTACCAGTAGATTATAGGTAAAAATAAAACAATGCAAGTCTGTATGTATTCCAACACCATCACGACGTTGCCTTGATGTTACATAAGGACTGAATACCAAACATGTGTATCAAAGTAGAACAAAAAACTCAATAAACTGAAATGCTCACTAAAATATCTGGTCTATTTGTTTAAAAATACACAACAGACATACCAGAAAGACTATGATCACTGATCTGAGGTCAACTGATGCAACCAGTGTTGCATGTTTGTCAGCCAAAGGAAACTTTTGATGCTGTCAACAAGTGTAGTAAATAGAACAGAAGCAACAGTGTGCTGGTCCATCCCCTCGGTCCCAAGCTCATTGGTTCCTGTTGCTTCATATGAATCAAAACAGGACATATTTTTCACACTTACTCATTGTCTAAAAAGTCTCAGCTGGAAGATTTCTGGAAATGTTACTCGAACTGGAGTAAATGTGAGTTGTGATGTTGTGATCCCTCCCCCTGCTGGCTACGCAAAGTAGGTCGATCCCAATATAAACTTTGCTCAACTTGCAGGAGACTGTTTGAAACAACAACTAATGACAGCGCAGGATACCCATGATTGATACATGACCTGGTCTGCCAGCAACCAATCATCTGCTTCAATCATTATGAATTAAGTAGATATCAGACAACTCATTTGAGATAGTTTAAAGATCTTAATGACACATCATATCCTGCATTTTTCTTACGTTAGAATTAATGTAGGGTTCGCTTACATCTGTTGTGTTTTAGACCAAATTTGGTTGAATTTTGCTGCATATTTTCGTTTATTGTGGTTTTAAATGAATACGTTCATCTATTGCAAAGACAGACGGCTGATAAAGATGGGTTTATATTATAAAAACCATCAGTTGGCATTCTCAGTATTCTTCTCTCTTGGGTTTGTTTCTTGTTTTCTAAACTGGTTGTTCCAAACCATTTGGTTAATGACGGAAACTCTCCGCTCTTCGATGTCTGTCAGGTGGATATTGCATTCTGTCACACTGGTGTTGTGAGACATCGCCTCCTCCAAAGCGTTCCCTCCAACCTGCACAAATGCAAACACACACACACCTAAAAGCTCTGCTGATGGCCTCAATAACCTTGAAAAACATCTCACTGCTAACCTTGCAGTTCGAAATACGGCACACTTTATAAGCTCCCCTTTGCTGGTGCTACCAGTCTTTTGCTGTTTTTTGTAAAACAGGCATTTCTATTTCTGAAACCAAGGTCAAAAATATTGATGGTACTGCATGTTGGATTTCTGCTATGTGGGTGATTTTTGATCCTCCGCAGTGTATTCCAGTCAGAGATACAATATGCAGTTAAAATCCGAAGAAGAGAGAGCATGAGAAGGGGGAATTCAGATCTACCTCTCTTGGGGAAACAACACTTACTCAGTTTTCCATTATTACATGTTTTCCCACACATATCTATGAATAATTGAAAATCCTAGTACTTTACAGCTGCTCTGTTGACTTCACTATGCTGTGTCTGCACAGGCGTTAGCATGCTTTGAGAGTTTTTCAAAATGAACCAGCATTCCAAAGCTGACAAATTTAACAAGAAGAAGTAATAAGTGGTTACAGTGAAACCATAACTTAAAATAACAGTTTCACTCTTCCTCTCTGTCAGTTAATTTTTGACAGTTTTTAATCTGCATGGCTTTCGGGATAACAGCAAACCTATCTATCTATCTATCTATCTATCTATCTATCTATCTATCTATCTATCTATCTATCTATCTATCTATCTATCTATCTATCTATCTATCTATCTA